CTTGAAGCAGCTCAGAATGTGGTGTTAGGAAATCTCAAAGAAGCCCAGCAGCAACAAGTGAGACATTACAACCGAGGCGCTCGGGAAAGGAGGTTTGACGTGGGGGACTGTGTGTTGGTTCTATTACCGGACAGTGAGAGTAAGTTACTTGCCAAGCGGGGCCCATGGACTACAAGGTGTACCAGATAGATAAGCAGAAAAAGAATCAAGTATACCATGTCAATATGTTGAAGAAGTGGGAAGACCGGGAGTGTATGTACTTAGTCTGTCTTCCTGAGGAGTTAGAATTGGGACCCATGTTAATGGAGGGAAGTGGGCTGGGTGATGTAGAACTGGCCCCACAACTGTCGGAAGAACAGAGAAGACAGGCTGCCAAGCTAGTCAAGGAGTATGTAGATGTTCCAGGGAACCCCTGGGGAAGCTCAGGGCGTGGTACACCAGATAAAAACTCCTCCAGGCCAGGTAATACGTGAGAATTGGAGACGGATTCCCCAGCGACTCCAAAGCCTGATAAAAACAGAGATTGCAATGATGCTAGAGAAAGGTATCATATGCGAATCCCACAGTGACTGCCGGAGCCCCACTGTAGCAGTACCTAAGCCTGATGGAAAAATCCGCCTCTGTATCGATTACCGGAAGGTGAATGCAGTGGCTAAGTTTGATGCCTATCCGATGCCCAGAGTGGACAAACTGGTGGAAAACATCAGGCGAGCTCGCTACATTTCCACTTTAGACCTGACAAAAGGTTACTGGCAGGTCCCAGTGGCACCCGAAGATCAGGAAAAGACAGCATTCACCACCCTGTGGGGTCTCTTCCAATTCTGGCACATACTGTTCGGGTTGCACGGAGCTGCGGCTACATTTCAGCCTACATGGATGATATTATTATATACACTGAGAACTGGGCTGAACACCTCACCGCACTGAGAGCAGTACTGTGAGACTTGAGAAGGGCCGGGCTGACAGCCAATCCAAAGAAATGTACTGTAGGGAAAAAGGAAACTCAATACCTGGGGTTCCTAGTAGGAAGCGGGAAGGTGAGACCTTTGTTGAGCAAAGTGGAGGCGTTGCAGAGATATCAAGCACCCTGTACTAAAAAGCAAGTGAGGGCTTTCTTGGGGCTGGCCAGTTATTATAGAAAGTTTGTACCTCACTTCGCGGATGTAGTCATACCTTTGACAGAAATGATAAAAGCAAGGGCTCCAACCAAAGTGAGATGGACACCGAAGGCAGAAAAGGCATTTCAAGCGGTGAAGGATGTGCTATGCCTATAACCACTCTTGTATACCCCAGATTTTAATAAACTTTTCCTGGTGCAGACCAATGTGTCAAATGTGGCTATCGGAGCAGTATTGGTTCAGAGAGAAGGAGAAGAAGAGCACCCTATAGCCTACATAAGTAGGAAATTACACCCACCAGAACAAAGTTACACCATGGTAGAGAAGGAGTGTTTGGCAATTAAGTGGGCTATTGAAACACTACGGTATTACCTGTTAGGGCGGTGGTTCACCTTGATCACCGATCATGCACCCCTGCGCTGGCTGCAGAGCATGAAGACAGACAACATGAGACTGATGAGGTGGACCCTTAGTCTGCAACCATATTGTTTTGAGGTAAAGCATCGCCCTGGAACCCAAAACATAAATGCCGATTTCTTCTTAAGACAATACGAGGAAGAAGGGGGACCAGGAGAAACAGGAGGATTCCAGACAAGGGAGAAGAGAGGGGGGCATGTAAATAGGAACCTTAACCTTGTTGCTAGGAGGCCAGGTGACCCCCTCCAAGTCTGGAACCTCCCAGGCAGGACCAACAAGTCAGGCAACAGGAGAACAAAATTCAAGATCTTGCAAATGGCGATTGGAAAAGGACAGAGAGGCGGCAGAGAGACGGACTCCCAACAAAGACAGTAATGTGCCTGCTGCCTTAGTTAGAAGGATACGCCATGCTCAGAGCCATCCTCATGAACATTTAAAACGTGGAGAGAAGACAGGCCTAAGTGGCATCCTACCAAGGCTGGATAGTGTGTGTGTGTGTGTGGGGGGGGGGTGTTACTTATGGCAGGGTAACTTGCACAAAACCCACATGGTGCGACCTTGGGGAAAAGGCAAGTAGGAGGTGCCTGAAAACCTTCACCTCCTGTATCTGAGTTGCCGGGTGCCTGAAGAAAGGCCAAGAGGAGAGCCCCAGATGGATGAAACACCTGGCAAGAATGAAGACTCGGCTCGGTGAGTCTGGAGTTAAAGAGGGGAGGTGTGTCGCAGAGCATGCAGGTGCCCTGCTCCTTAGAGCAGAAACAGC